TAAAAGTATTTAATAAGAACATGTCTTATTATGAATGATAAGATGAGTAAATTATAGTCATTAAATTATTAATAAAAATAACTAATGAAATCTTTTAAATATTAATTATGGACAATTCCTTGCAAAATTATTACTATTACTCCTTCCACAACTATCAATATCACTATTACTCATTGCTGTCATTACTATCAGTGTCATCTTTGCCACAACTATAAATATTATTATTTTTTCATTGTAAAATAAATAAATTTTAATTTTAGTCTCTGTAAAATATTTTTCTTTGATTTTTATTTCTCTAAAACTTAATTAAAGTCACTATTTTTTGTTCTTAATGACCATTTTAAGGTATATTTAATGATTTATAAAAAAATTTAAAAGTATCACATGTAAATAAAGTATCATAAACAGTTGTGGATACTACTTTGGATGGTCACATAATCTTATAATAAATACAAAGAAGTTAAAAAGGTGACATATATAATAGTAGAGACTAAAACCATAGTTTTTAATTTTAGAGAATGAAAAATAAAGAATTCTTTTAAAGATTAAAATCAAAAAATGCTCATTTTGTAGAGATTAAAAATATATTTTAAAAAAATTGACATTAATAAGAATTAACCCACTTGGTCAATAATTTTCTCATAGATAAGTTTGACTTTTAAAAAATATTTATTATGATAAAATATCAAGTTCTTTTTAATCTAATATAATAATAAAAAATCTTTGTTTGCCAAATAACACACACAACCCTAAACCCTAAAGACACACACATATATAAAATAAGGAATAATTAATGGGCTTTAAGAGTAACTCTTAGTAAAGTTATTCTACTCAAAAATTTATTGTGTTGAATTTTAATGATCTCATCGTTAAATTAAAAAAATTTAATGTATAGATCAAATTTATAATTTTTTAAAATTTTTGATATTTCGTTATGTAGATTTAAATCAACAAATAAAATATTTTTATAATTATTCGTCAATTTAAATTAATGAAATGAAGTATCAAATAATTTTCAAAATTTTAAAAAATTTATAGACTTGATCTATGCATTAAAAACTTTAAATTTAACGGTTAAATTATTAAAATTTAATGTAAAACATGAATTATTGAACAAAGTAAGTTTAGATACATTTACTCCTGCAATAAACAGATCCCTCCTCATTTATATATAAAATTATTTATGACCAATCAAACTTTTTTTTTTTCGGAATTGTGATTTTTAATTTTGAAAGAATTGTCTTACTACCAAACCCCTTTAAACGGCCTAGTGTTTAAATGGATCGAAGTGGAGAGGGATGAAGAATTTTTTTTAAATTGTTATTTGGTTCAATTTTAAGAGATTATGAGAGGGGAATGAAAGAGAGAAAATCTCTCGTCACCTAATTTTAGCTCTACTTTAATACTTAATGATTTGGAGTGAAATAGAAGAATTTTAAAATATTTTGATTGTGATATCTAAAATATTCTTATTTATATTTATGAATTTAAAACTATAAGAATACAAATGTAAAATAATTTTTAAAATACTTGAAACAAATAAAAAAAATAGCTATCTCTACTCCTTCCAAACATAATTTCTGACATATTTCTTCTTCTTTCCTCCCTCGTTTGAATCATTTAAAAATATCCTTAAAATATTTTTTTTTATATCCCTTTATCGTTAAAAATGTAATAAATAATGTGATAAAAAAGTTACAGAACAATAATATTATACAATTTGGCGTACAAGTTTCATTTCCTTTAAAAATTAATGCAAATTTGTTTATTAAATTCACGGAAAATCATTTAAATTGAAGTCGAATGGGAAACAACAAATTTAGGATCCAACTTATGTCGTTACTGTTACTACCCATACCATACCATACCACGAGCGCGAATCACCATCATCAACATCACTTTTGTAAGGTAATTGCATTCACAGTCGACACTCCCAGTGCCGGCCACCACTACCATAATATTGCTGTAAAACAATATATTTATACTTTAGCAACTATCATTGTCATCACTGATTAGGTATGTGAAAATGAGTTCAACGTATGCTATATATGGTTTTAACACCGAAGTATATATAACCTCGTATATATATATGTTGAAATCTCTTTAAACCAACCATATTAACATTGTAAACACTCTCGTCACTTACTTCCCTATACTTAATTTCAATCCTGATTTCTAGCCAGATACAGAATCGGATATATGTGCACTATTAGATTTAAAATAGTGTATTACATATGCCACAAAGCTTGCCTAAGTGGTTACCGCATCATACCAAAATCTTAAGAAATATATATGTAAACAGTCCAATTTGGCATACAATATGCATGAGAGTATATCCACTAGTTAAAATATACACATTAGTGGTGACATTCTGTGTGTATATGGAGGGATCTATGTTTATTTATTATGAATGTTAAAAGTGCAGGATTTTATTATAATGAATTAAGTTAGTGGGAATGAACGACAAGAAAAAAGGAAAAAAGAAAGTGGAGATAGAGGATGAGATATAAGATTAGTGAATTTAGATTTTTGAGTGTAAAACCCTAGAAAATGGAGATGGGCAAAGCATGCCGGGTGTGACAAAGACTACACACTGTATATTCCTTCGAGAAAGAGAGAGTGGGTCCATTACCTCACAAGGGTAGATATGATAGATAGATGCATAGGTTGAAGACTACTGAATAAGAAAGAAAGAAAAGATTATTATAAAGTGATCGAATGTGCCCACGGGCTCAGTACTAATCAGTGTTTGTAACGTAAAAGACTCGCAACTTTTTTTTTCTTTACATTCTTCTACTTTGTGCATCTATTTTAATTTTCACCTTTCTTTGCCCATGGCTCTCATCTGCTCATTCCTCTTTGCCTCACTTGCAACTCCTATTTCTCACCCTTAAAGTTTTTTTTTTCTTTCTCTCTGCACCTCTTTCTGCGCGAGAATCCAAGATTAGAAAATAAAGTCCAAGCAAAAGTGGTTCAAGAATCTTGCTTTTTAACATGCCAAGGGGAAAGCCTGCGCTCCACTTACTTCTGCCCTTCATTCATAACAAAATTACATGACCACCACTTCAATTATAATTTTGAGTGAGTCCAAGGTAATCTGAATAACTCAGATTTGCTATGAATGCGTCTGAAAGATAATAATAATAATAATAATATTAAATTACCAATGTATATAAACCTTATGCACTCGGTGATAATTGTAATGCAATCATCATATGTAAGCCACAACTCAATTATATGTAGTCGAAGAAAACAAAAAATTCTCTAGCGTTTGTCCTAGCAAAAACTGAAAAACTGGTGAGAAATTTTGTTTCTAGCTACTTGTTTCCTTTTCCATTTCCGACAACAGAATTCGTCAAGAAAGAAGTAATTAGGAAGATTGGTGGCATGCATGGACGTGTTGTCCTCATCTCAGAAATAGAGTTGGATCAGCTATTTCTGTTCAAATACCCCCTCCTACTTTGCATGGTTGTTTTGTCCGACAGGCAGAATATTGGAATGAAACATCACATAAAACCACACATATAAGGTTCTGACAACATAAAACTAGTTCTGAGGTACCAAGATAGATAACCAAAACTTTACCAAAAGCAAATTTACCACTGCACGGCACCCTCCATTCATTTGTTCACTAATAATTACTCTAGTCGAGCCAGTAAATAAATACATCAAAATCAAAAGCGTTCTCACCGCTAATTAAGCATATATGATTTTCACATATAGAAACTAATTAGTAGAACATGAACCTGATATATGACACATGATCATTCACCAATTCCTGTGTTGAGTGTGCTTTGCATCTTTCCATCAGTGATTTTAATTAATATAATAATGGCAAGAGTTTGAAGAGTTTGTTTTCAACGGTTACAGAAATTCTTTGTCACTTTCTCAAGTGCTCTCTGCCAGTGAGTCAGTCAAAAAAGAGCATTTTGGTAACAATCCGACAAAATCAGAGCCTTTTTCCAACATCTGTCCCTGTTTCCCTTTCAACCGTTTGTGTTCAAACACCAATCTCAAAGAAGTCAAGGTGCAGTTTCGTAATTATGCTCAGTTCCACTCCTTGTAGCATTCCATCTATTTAAGCACGCATACACCCCTCTCTCTCACGTCCAACCCATCCTCTTCAAATAGTATTTCCAAGAATTAACATATCATCCCTCTCTCCCTTCCTTTGCTTTCAATCCAGTTCTTCTCTATACTCAATTCATTTTGACCCCGTGCATCATCGTCAGCACAAAACTAAGTACTCCTCTCCAATTATGATAGTTAGGTACGTAATAATACTTTTTCATTATCCATGCCACTTTTGTTATTTCTCCTCCAAGTTCACATCCTAGCGCATGCATTGTGTCCCTTAACATGAACTGACTCATATGAAATTAATGGTAGCAAGAAGTCAAACTCTTACTCATAGCTACCTGCAAAAGCTGTATGTTTTTCATTTTTGTTACAAGTAGACATATTCTTTTGTCTTTTTCTAAAATATATATCCTTTATTATATATTCTCTCTTTCTTTCTTTCTGCCCATGATTATTTTATTGACATACTATTCAACTTTGATCACTGATCAATAACATAATTAAAAAGTTACGTTAATCATGTTATGCACTTTTTACAGCTTGGGATCCGAGGAGTTAAATCCAAGGCAGCAGATAGAAGACTGAATTGCTTCAAAAAAAAAAAAAAAAAACTCATCTGGAAGCTGTAGACATGGCCAAAGGATCTTCAAAGTTTTCAAAGAAAAAATCCATGACATTTATATGCCTCTTCATGTTCATGCTCAACTTCCACTTATCCCACGGAGAGCAAGAGGTTGAGCTTCTGTTATCCTTCAAAGCTTCACTCCACGACCCTCTTCATTTTCTCTCCAACTGGGACACTTCCTCTGCCACCATCTGCAAGTGGCATGGCATAACCTGCGACAACAACGTTAACTCTTCCCATGTTAACGCTGTTGTGATCTCAGGAAAAAACATAACCGGCGAGGTTTCCTCCTCCATTTTTCAACTCCCGTACGTTACAAACCTCGACCTTTCCAATAATCAGTTTGTTGGTGAAATCACTTTTACCTACTCTCTCAATTCTGTGTCTCCACTCCGTTACCTTAACCTCAGCAACAACAACCTCACGGGTTCTTTGCCTCGACCCTTGTTTTCCGTGCTTTTCTCAAACCTCGAAACTCTTGATCTCTCGAACAACATGTTTTCGGGGAACATACCTGACCAAATTGGATTGCTTTCAAGCCTAAAGTATCTTGATCTCGGAGGAAACGTTTTGGTGGGAAAGATTCCCAGTTCCATCACCAACATGACAACTTTAGAGTACCTCACGTTGGCTTCAAACCAGTTAGTGGATAAGATACCTGAAGATATCGGCGTAATGAAGAGGTTGAAGTGGATTTACTTGGGATACAACAATCTTTCAGGTGAGATACCAAGTAGCATTGGTGAGTTATTATCTTTGAACCACCTCGATCTTGTTTACAACAATCTCACTGGACCTATTCCTCAGTCTCTTGGACACCTCATCCAGCTTCAATATCTCTTTCTCTACCAAAACAAACTAAGTGGTCCAATTCCCGGAGCCATTTTCAATCTGAAAAAGCTCATTTCACTTGATCTAAGTGATAACGGTCTTTCTGGTGAGATTTCTGAGCGCGTGGTTCAGCTCCAGAGACTGGAGATTCTCCATCTTTTCTCAAACAAGTTCACTGGGAAGATTCCAAAGGCTATTGCATCTTTGCCTCGGCTTCAGGTTCTTCAGCTATGGTCAAACGCATTTACAGGTGAGATTCCTGAGGAGCTAGGGAAGCATAGCAACCTCACTGTTTTGGACCTCTCCACCAACAACCTCACAGGGAGGATTCCAGATAACATATGCGACTCAGGTAGTCTTTTCAAGCTTATCCTCTTCTCAAACTCTTTCGAAGGAGAAATCCCGAAGAGCTTAACCTCTTGCAGAAGCCTTCGCCGCGTGAGACTCCAAAACAACAAGCTCTCCGGAAAACTACCTCCGGAGTTGACCACACTGCCTCAGGTTTACTTCTTGGAAATCTCTGGCAACCAACTTTCCGGAAGGATCGATGACAGAAAATGGAACATGCCGTCGCTTCAAATGCTTAGTTTGGCTAACAACAACTTCTCAGGAGAAATCCCAAACTCATTCGGGACTCAGAAGCTAGAGGACTTGGACTTATCACACAATCGATTCTCAGGTTCTATTCCTGTTGGTTTTGAAACGTTATCAGAGTTGGTAGAATTGAAGCTCAGCTATAACAACCTCTTCGGTGAAATCCCTGAAGAACTATGCGCGTGCAAGAAGCTTGTGGCCTTAGACTTGAGTCACAACCACCTCAGTGGCGAAATTCCGGTGAAACTCTCCGACATGCCGGTTCTGGGCCTCTTAGACCTGGCGGAAAACCAATTCTCCGGCGACATTCCGCAGAATTTGGGAAGCATGGAGTCTCTTGTTCAGGTAAACATATCACACAACCATTTTCATGGAAGCTTACCTTCCACCGGGGCTTTCCTCGCCATTAACACGAGTGCAGTCGCCGGCAACAGCCTCTGCGACCGTGACGGCGACGCTTCAAGTGGTTTGCCACCGTGCAAAAGCAACAACCAGAACCCCACTTGGCTTTTCATCATGCTGTGCTTTCTACTAGCCTTGGTTGCGTTCGCGGCGGCTTCTTTTGTCGTGTTTGTCGTTCGTAGGAGGAAGAGCTTCTCCGAGGAGCGAAGAGTGGAGAACGAAGACGGAACATGGGAAGTGCAGTTTTTTGACTCCAAGGCCGCGAGGTTGATGAGCATCGAGGATGTTTTGTCGGCGGTTAAAGAAGGAAAAGTGGTTTCCAAAGGAAGAAACTGGGTTTCGTACGAAGGGAAGTGCATGGAGGATGACATGCAGTTCGTGGTGAAGGAAATTAGTGACTTGAATTCGGTTCCGATGAGTATGTGGGAAGAGACAGTGAAAGTTGGGAAGCTTCGACACCCGAATATAGTGAAGCTTATTGGGACGTGTAGGTGCGGGAAGAGAGGGTACTTGGTGTACGAGCACGAAGAGGGGAATAAGTTAAGCCAAATTTTCAACAGTTTGAGTTGGCAACGGCGCCGCGAAGTTGCTATTGGCGTTGCAAAAGCGCTTAAGTTCTTGCATTCTCACGCTTCGTCCATGCTTTTCATTGGAGAGGTGTCACCGGAGATAGTTTGGGTCGACAATAAAGGCGTCCCTCGCGTTAAACTCACCCCTCCCGCGGTGCCATGTTTGGATGTCAAGGGTTTCGTTTCTTCGCCCTACGTTGCTCAAGGTAATATTTTGTTCCTTTTTGCAGATTAGTAATCTTGCTTATATATGCACACATACAATACAACTATGGTTTTATCATAGATCAACTTATATGGGATTGTTCTACTAGAATCATTAATTTTGAATTGTATTAAATATCTGACTTTGTCTTTTGTTATAGATTCAAAAATGATTGTCTAGCTAGTGTATTTATGATTTTGCAAGTTGTCATGACTTTATATGTTGGTGGTCACATTTCCATAGGATGATAGAGTTTGTTTGATGAATACGTACAAAACTTCACGAGCTTGATAAGAATCCATAATGTCATATCAGTCTTATGTTATGTTATGTCACAGCATATAATATAATATAGGTTAATGTTTGTGGTTGTGTGTGTTCAGAGGGAAGAGATGCGACGGAGAAGAGTGAGATATATGGGTTGGGAGTGATGGTGATTGAATTATTGACGGGAAGAAGCGCCATGGACATGGTCGACATAGAAGCTGGAAATGGAAATGGCATGCACAAGAGCATTGTGGAGTGGGCCCGCTATTGCTACTCTGAGTGTCATGTTGACACGTGGATAGATCCTGTGATGAAAGGTGGAGATGCATTGACCTATCAGAACGACATCGTTGAGACAATGAATCTGGCGCTGCACTGTACCGCAACTGATCCCACCGCAAGGCCACGCGCAAGAGACGTACTCAAAGCCCTAGAGACTGTTCACACCAACACAAACACTTTTTGTTGAGTTTCAACCTCAACTCTCTCATTTCATCAGCATTCTCTGACCTTTGTTATAGATTTTCTCTTCTCTTCTCTTGTTCTTTTTTATTTTTTATTTTTATTTGAGTTTTCAGTTTTGCTTTTTTTTATTTTATTATATATATATATATATATATTTAATCCTTAATTTGTTAAAAGTTTTTAGTTTAGCATAAGTAAGTTGTTAATGAAGGGATTGCTAGGGAAATGTTTGCTTTTGATATATTTTATGTAAGGTGCATGCTTGACATACCGCTGATGAGTGTAAAAGTAAATGTAAATAAATTGAATGTGATAAATAAATTAAGTATATGAAATCAATGCAACATCTATATATGTAATTTTGTATTACTCCTAGCATAAACACTTTTTTTCGTTTGGCTAACTGATATTGTTCAATAGCGAGGGCTATTGCCTCTGCCTTTTCCACCAACAGCTGGAAATCTCATTCATAGAGGTCTATTTTCTATCACTTTTTGTCCTGATCTGTGCACATCAGCTGTTAATTGTCTGGTTTGCATACTAGCTAACTAATGGAAATATAGAGCGAAGAGAATAATTTTCATTTTGAGAATGTAAAAACTACGAATCTAATTCATAAAGACATAAAAGTGGGCAAATTTTTTTATATATTATTTGAATGCTTGCTGTTTACACTTTCTTTCCCATATATAAATACATCATTTAGCTCTAGATTATTTTTCCACCGGGGTGAAGTTGTTTTTATTCAATTCTCATGAAGTCATAATAGACCGATCATTTTAATTGGTTTTTCTCCTTTAAACCGAACGATTTAATATTAAAAAAATAAGAGTAGCTATATATACTGAAAAATCAACTATTTAAATAACAGTTAAATTAATACATTCACATATATTATGTGTTAGCATCAAAAGAGGTAATTTGGAAATGCTCGAAATACGGGGGCTTTCGAAATCGAAGGTAATCAGAAAATAGTAAAAGAGAAGTTCTAGAATTGGAAACATACGAAGCACAAGGGGAATCAAGAGATACTCGAATACATATTTCGTGAAGCACTTGAAATCCTTGAAGCTGCCACTCGTGAAAAGGTTTCACAACTTCGCAACCTCTCAAAGTACAGGAAGAATCAGGAAACACTCGAGTATATTTTTGGTGAATCACTCGAAATCCTAGGGACCCGGACATTCATGAGTATACTTCGTAACTTCTCAAAATGAAGAACTTAGGGCAGACATGATTAAGAGAGGTCGAAGTAAATCGAAGGGATAAGTATCAAACTATAGAGCGGTTTGGGGGGTTATAAGAGGTTCCGGAAGTTACTAAAAGACGTGCATGAAGTGATCCACGATTTGGAGGTTCAGAACGGTTACACATTCGTGACACGCCAGATACAATTATTTATGATCCCTCAAATCTCTATAAATTGACGAGCCATGCTCGTAGATAGGGGTCGGAAATCACACTACTCACAACACCTCACAAGCACTCCTCGCCTGCGCATAAGGCTCACGTGTACGAGACAGCTGAGTACGATTTTTTGACCACTCTTTTTTTTCCTTTTTAGCATAGTGTAACATAGTTTAGTGTAGTGTAGCCTTCTGAATACTCATTATATCCTTATGCATTGTAATTCTACTATCATCGAACAAAGGATATGATTTCTGCAGTTAATATACATGTTATTTATTCGATGCACATCAACGTTCACATGCATGAAATTGATTGTATGATTAGCATAGATATTCTATTTTGCTAAAATTGCACTCTAATTAATTAATTCAACATGCTGTTTATATGATTCATCACTGAAAAGTCGCGAAATCTGTTATGTCACACATGTCTAAATTGAAATCGTGCTAGTTCGAATAAAAATAACTTATGAACGAAATCTTCCACATTATGATATTGTTAAAAAAATATTATTTTTATTTCATAAAAATGTTATTCTTGAGTCTTGACTACGAGTGATTTCTTGGTTATGAAAAATATTTAACATATATCCACTTTCTATCTTATTTCTCCTTCAATAATCCTATCACGTTTATCATCACTCTGGGATATATAGTTGAAAGAATTTGGTCTTAATTTACAAAAAAACGAAAACGCAGTACTGTATATGTCATTGGATATGGGAATGGAAGCAAAGAGTTTTGGCGCATCATGATGACGGAAACCGTAAAGTGAATACTTTATGATCTTTTATATAGCAGAGTGGAAACGCAACCACAACACTCATTTAGTGGGGGATCACTTTTTAATTTATTCATTGCGGGTTTTGTGATATTTTTTGTCCCATTGTCTTTGCAAAATTCGCTACAGAATATAGGGCCAAAAGAACAAAGCAAAAGGATTGCATTATACCAATAAGCGCACAATCACGCAACTCAAAGCTGCATGCAGAAACTCAGTTTGACAGCCAAAGTAACACTTCGATATATATCCCTTTTTCGCTCCCTTTTAACTTATATCTCAAAACCCAAGACCGCTTTCTTTACTTACTAAATATATACACACTTTACACCCCAACTTATTATACATACTAAATATATATACGCCTTTTCCTCTACGCCCGCCAGTTTCAAACTATTTAACAACTATGGTTAATCTAGTGATTGGTTAATCTAGTGATTGGTTAATCTAGTAATTGGTTAATCTAGTAATTGGATAAAAAGAGGTTAAGATAGTTAGATGTATAAATATATATGTTTAATTTTCATTGCGATCATTTTTATAATCTTTCCTATTTTAAAAAAAGATACTTCACTATTTAAACCAATAAGATTGGACACATTTAGTTCACAATTAAGTTCTATAATTAAATGTGTTATAAATAGAAACAAAATCCCACATTATTTAAAAAGAACAAACATGAGATTTATAAAATATATATATGAAACTTTTTGAATAATAATTAAAAGCTAAATTTATAAGAATTTTAGGCTCAACATGTATAATATCATGTTAATATAAAAATGTGTGTAAATATTTGTGATACAACAAGATATAATACTCTTATTGAAAAATATATTCCAATATACAAGAAATACGAAAATAACTTATCAATGGTATCAAAAGCTAGATTGTTCGGTGAAAAAATACATTCTCACAATCCATACAAATAAACAAAAATAACTATTGAAAGACATATTTTACTAAATGAAAGTTATGTCATTTATTTGAGACAATAATTATTGAAATACAAATAAATTATTCTATTATTAGAAAAAAAAAAGATTAATAAAATATATATATATATATATATATATATATATTCCATTGATATACAACTTTTTAGGTAATGATAAAAAATAAATTTATTATAATTTTAAATTCAAGATAAAAAATATCATATTAATATAGAGGTATGTGTTAAAATATATCCAACACAACACATACCAAAACAACTTATCAATGTGTTGACAGGATCCAATTATATAACAAAGACAAAATTCAAGTTAATAATCTCTACACATTCAAAGAAATTAAACTCTAACTATATTGGTGGTAAGATGTCTTTGGTAGAAAAAAATAATGCTTCAACTATTCCCTTTCATTTTGGGTCCATCTCCACTATATATTAAGCTCAATTCCAAAAGCTACTCCGAAGGAGAATGACCTAGTTGAGCGGATGTATAGAAATGAACTGGGACTAATTAACTCTATTAGTGATATAAATGAATCGATCTTTATAAGTAGCCATGCATATTTTTATATTAACGTGAGACATCTAAATTTATAAATGGTCATTGTTACATTTGTTATTGCTGCGACCTAATCATGAAATCACATTCAACGTTCCGATTGTCATAATAATACAATCACCAAATCAAACCCGCAGACAGATCGACATTCAACAGAAACTTTTGATATTAAATACAATGATAAGGCGACGCATTTTCTCTTTTTTTGGTTTGAATGCAAACTGTAAATGAAACCTTTAGTGAGGTTATGATTATAGGACTGATAAAAGACACTTATTAGATTTCTTGCTTCTGCGGAGACTCCCTTTCTTTTTTGTGTTCATGATGCAAGTTTGAATATGTGATGATGGCTGTACATTCACAATCACTGGTTTTGGGCGTCTGGTCTCCCTTCATACATAACAAACTTAAATCATACTCAAACAAAGGATTTTATTTTTTTTGTTAATTGTCTCTGATTTGGTTACAAATATGGACGCATGCTAAGTCCAGCATTTGATTATCGAAATTAATTATCCCCATTTCCTATTGATCCCTTTTCATGTACCTCGAAAATAACTTAAACAATTAATCAGGAAATTTTTACTTTTTTTATCTACTAGTATTCTAGCACGTGGGTTGCTCAAAATAAATATTTATTTTTATATAATTAAAATATATAATAATTAATATATTTAAACATATAAATTATATTTTACAGTAAATAATTTAATTTGTGATATAAAAATATTTTAAACTAAATTTCTTTTTAAAAAATTATTAAAATTGAATTTAGAAATAAAAATAAAAGGTTATATTATAAGGGATAGAGGATTAATAGATTAAGTAGTTTGAGATGATTAAGAGAGATTATTTAACTACATGTAAGAGTAATATGTGAAATATATTTACAAAATAGAGAGAATAAAAGAAATACTGAGAATATCTAAGTAAAAGAAACGAGAAGAGTGAGAGTCTCGCACTCTAAATTGTATACTTTAAGATAGTTGATTTAATTTTCTTAATTTTACTGATTATTTTTTTTTATGAAGTTCTCATGTTTATTTAGAGTAAGCCTTTTTTTTAATTAATAATAATATAATATTAGATATACGGAGAATAGGTAACGGAGATAGGAGATTTTATGACATAATTATGTAGCCTGGACCATATATATACATTTCTTAAGACTTGTTTCTTTCTGGTCGTATAATAAGTAAGCACATTGCTACATGGGCTCCAAAGTAATCCTTATCTTATAGTGTGATTAAGCACTAAATGCATTAACTCCACTTACATGGTAAAAGTAGTAGTAGTAGATCGGGGATTTTCCCAACCAGGCCTGACCACAAACTTTCTTGTGACCCACCTTCCTTCCATGTTATGATGATGGTGCTTAGAGTTTCCTTCTTTTTTCCTCCTTTTCTTTTAAACAAATTTATTTTTTTCTCGTGTTATGGCCTCTAAGTAATGATGGTTGTGCAAGAATCCTTTACTCTTTTCTTCGATGAGAACTCTTGGAGGGTTTCCACAGTTAGAAGATTCCATCAGTAAAGATGAGTCTAAGCATAAAAATATAAAACTAGCTGACATTATGAGGGGCAAACCAGCTCAGTCTGGCTGGCATGGATATGCAATGTTTGTTTTTCTCAAAAGCCCCCCAAGATTTCAATTATAGCCCTCGGAGACCATGCAAAAGCTTCTTTGGCCTCATTCTTTCAAGTCAAAAAAGCCCCTTTTCCTCTCATTTTTTCCCCCTAAAGTCTTCTTCTTTCGTAGTAGCAAGTGTTTGAATTGTTAATGTCTTCGCATTTTTCTCTCTTCTTTTCTTACAATTTTCTTGTATGCATAAAAGACAGCTGGCTTTTGTTTTCAGACTTTAATGTAGTTATAATCATAATATTGGATCCACGTGCAACCCATCGGATATTGCACACACCCACCACACTTGACACAATTTATGGAATTCAAAGCGGAGAAAGGGGTTAACTAGTGCTATTGACCCATGCATTGCAAAAGTTCTAGTATGAAAGCTATTGCCATTCTTGGCCGTGAAACCAAGCATGGTACGCAACAGGAAAAGGGGATACAATACTGTAGGGAGGTAGTTAAACAAGTTCTCAAAATCTAATTACACAAAGCTGCTTTTGAAAAAAAATATTGCTGCTATATATGCTCATATATAATTCTCACAAAATTGTCATAATTATGTGTTATGTTATAAGGGGGTGACATGTGATGATATAACTTGGAAAACTAATGAGTACATAAATGAACATTGAAAGATTTGGACATTGACTTTGAACATTTAGCAATGCTCCTGCTTAGCCGAAAATGCATATTGATACACCAATTATTGTGCCTTTCGCTTAATCCGATGTAGCAAATCGAATGGTTACACAAATCTTGCTTTGTTTAAATCTAGTCAATTCAAACTTCAAAGTAGGGTTCGATTTAGTCATTCTATAGTAATGAATCTAAAAGATACTTTACTTTTGCCTGTAATTTAAACTTTATTTCATGAGACCTTGGTCTGTGTCCAATTCGTTAATGTTCTGGGTCAAAGATCACATCAACCCCTACCACTTCAAAAACCAAAAGACACTTTCAGTGTACTCTGGGGTCGATTTCCCTTTCAATTGACAGTAATAACTATGGTAAAGTAAAACACAAAGTAGTGTCCTTTTTGTTTATATATATGCCCTGTTAATTATCTTAACCTGCTCGAGTTGAACTAGGCTTTGTTCCTAACATGTATATATATATGCTGCCTAACCAACCTAACTGTGGAGGGATAACTTTGTTTTAAATCTTTTTTACCAAATATTTCTTATTTTTTCAACAATTGAGAAATGAAAGAAGCAGTTTAAAATCAATTTACTGCTTCCGGTTGTTACTTGGTAATTAAGAAATTGTTTGTTACAGTTATACAGTTTTAGTTTTAGTATAACTTCTATCAATATCATATATAGTACAATTTAAGTTCAGCTTATATCAGCACAAAATTAGGAAGTTTTGCTTTATGGACGTAATTAATAAAAGTAAACCAATGTGACAGAAGGATAGAAAAGTCCTAAGTACAGATGGTGAAAGAAGTTATGGTTTATAGAAAATGTTACAACTTCCACTCAAATGTTGAGATCAGTTACGTTTTGATAAATTTGGCCAGAATAATAGACTCAAGGGGAAGGTATGAACTGGAATCAATGAATATGAAACATATCTCTGTCAATTCTCAAGTCTTCATCTTTCGTAAGAAAGAGTGAGTTCGAATTCGCTGGTGTTTTGTTGAAATGGAATCCGAGAGATTCAAAACTGTGAAACGATTTATAATGATTGATCCTTTCTATGTGCAGGTTCATTTCAGCATTAGATATCGCTACTCTACGTTGTGCTAATGGCCTTCAACTCCACCAGAGAAGTTGTTCTATAATGTAGATAATAAAGTCTGGCCAAATTCTGAATAAGAAATATATCATATTTTTCATCCTAATTACTACTTAATAAACAATATATTAAGTGATAATAAAAATATATATTAAGTGAAATTGAAAGTAAAAATAATAGTATTAAATATTTAATGATGTTAACAATGTTTAATATTTTTCTTTAAATAATTAATCTAAAATTCATTAAGAATAAGATATTGAATTATTTCTTCTCAATCAGATAGAGATAGCTCATAGCCTCATAGCAGTCAGAGATAGAAATAGATAATTTCAATTTAGATATATAATTTATTCCAATTAAAATTTTATTAGTGTTGTCAAAACGAACAATTCGGATACTAACCAAACTTATTAAGTTAAATATAAAAAAAAATGTCAATTTGACTTGTCTGACTTCCGTATAAACAGCATATTTTACTAGTTTAGTGGTCCAAATTAAAGGTTGAGTTAGACTTGACTATTTAAAAAAAAAAAAAAAAACGTGTGTTATAAAAAAATTATTACTTAAAAGTTGAAATTTTAAGCATTTTCTTTGTTATATATTTGAGGAACAAACTCAACTAAATAGAGCAAAATAAAAGCAAGTCAATTAAAGAGAACGAAGAGAAAAATAGAACAAGTCAATAGCATTGTCATTTACGTACTAGAGTTTCACCAAATAAGAAAATGAAATGAGAACAAGTACGATATTATATATGAACAGTAATGCAATATTATTAGTAAAGACAAAAAATAAAGAAGACAAGAGTATAGAAAGAAAGAGATAAAAAAACTCATTTAAAAATTCTTAAAGCACTTAAAAAATCATTTCAAACAATCCTTCAAAATCTAATGAGTTTGGATGAGATTGTTTTATGAATTTGGTATTTATAGATATTACTAAAAAGTTCTTCAAAATCCGTCTAATACAATAATCTTTTAAAATCTTTATATGAATACCATTGTTTTTAAGTTGTAAAAAGTCTTAAATGAATATTAATAGATTTTAATAAACTCTTTAAAAATATTATGAAATGCTAAATCAATATACCCTCTTAAATTCTGATTTATTATTTAATATATTCAATAAAATTTTTAAATTATTTGTATATATATATTACACATCAATTCAAAACCCAATTAAGTAGTCATCACGGTTATAAGTATATTTTAAGAAAAAAAATTACATATGAATTATTATTTATTAAAATATAATTTAAATTGTGAAAATATTAGTTAACCTGTGCGATGCCACTGGAATACATAAAAAATGAAGAAAATCCCTGTAACATATGGGGAACCAACTAGTTTATATATTTTTCTCAAATTATTTATTGTGGGGCAGAATGGCATTTTCCCTCCTCATCCCATCCCTTCCCTTCCCACGCCACTTATGCACACAGCTTAGCCGAATGCTTCTGCTGCTGTGACTGTGAAGTGTGAAAGCATTAACCATGTCTACGATGCTCTCCGTCTCTGCTTCTTATTACTCTTCTTCTCGTCTCTTTTCTTCCTCCTCTTCTCGCAACCCTCTTCTCTTCCTCACGCGCCGTCGTCGCGTTCCACTCCCTCGTACTCGCCGTCGTCATTTTGCAGGTTTTCTTCGCCTAATTCCTCTTCCTCTTTGCGGCGACACTATTTGTTCAATTTCGACTATCGTTATAAACTCTCTTCTCTCTCTCTTTTCTCGCATTATAACGTAGTCTTGGTTCAGCAAAGTTAGGTTCATCGCAGTTAAAATCCGTTTCCTGCTTGAACCAAATACGTTCTGGATATTTTGTTGGTTTTTCAGTTGCTGCGTCGGAGACAGAGAATTGTGTCTTTACGTCTCCTGAGATTGCCAAATCCTTCGACTTTGCCGCGGAAGAACGCATATACAATTGGTATGCTTTCGAAATTAGAGTTCATGATATTTTATTTTGTTATTTTTGATTTCGTGTTATGTGTTCGTTTGACCCAACAAAACGACCCTGCGTAGTAGGAAACGGCTTTTGCTGTTGTCGTTTGCAATGGTAAAAGAATGTTACGGGACATAACTGTGTAGTGTTCATTCAGATTATTTAGCCCTTCATGTTTGGTATTTGATATGAAGATTGGTTCTTGCTGTTTTGGTGCATTTTTGAGTCATGATCATTTCATTTTTGGTTTCCGCAAACACTCCCTATGTTTAATACCCTCATGCCCTCGGGTGTAAGGGGAACTGTTGTGTGCAAAGATTTTGTGTACAATTTGTATTCCAACAAGTGTAGAATTTAAACAAGCAAACAGATATTAAAGCCAAGCAAATAAAATAACATTGAATTTCATTTATATTGACTTGATCTTTGATCAAGTTTAAAATAAAAGAACTTAACTTGGTAAGATAACGGGTCAACCCATTTTGACACCAATATCATGTTTAATCTTTTATTTTTTATCTTTTGTATGTATATGTGAATGTACCCTCTTGATTTTAGGTCAAACTATATGTTAGTTACATTACCATTAAGGCAGATGATAAACACACCTCCACTCTCGTATAGAT